TGTTTACAACTACACAGATCCATTTCCTGACACAGACAATGACAAAGGCTGTCAGTCAAATGTTACTACATCAGATGCACAGTGTCAGACAAGCCTTACAGTGGAGGATATGGAGAGGGAAGCATGTTTTATTCGAAACTCTACAACAGAACTTAACGAGTTAAAGAAACAACTATTGAATAGAGATATCTCGACAGGCATTTTCTGAAAATGATGAGAAAACTAAGTTTTATACTGGTATTCCAAATTTTGTTTTACTAACTCATGTCTTTAATTTAGTTGCCCCACATGTCAAGCATACATCTACCAATGTCCTCTCGCAGTTTCAAGAATTTTTAATTACTTTAATGAAGCTTAAACTAAACTCTCCTTTTCAAGACTTAGCATTTCGATTTGGCATCTCTGTTTCAACTGTAAGTAGAGTATTTGACAAGTGGATTGATGCTATGAGTACACGCTTGCAATTCCTCATTATGTGGCCAGCAAGAGAACAACTAAGAAAAACAATGCCATTAGCCTTTAAGCGTAACTTTGGTGATAAAGTGGCGGTGATAATTGATTGCTTCGAAATATTTATTGAAAGGCTGTCAAGCTTAATAGCTAGAGCAATGACTTGGTCAAACTACAAGCATCACAATACTGTGAAATTTTTAATTGGAATAACCCCTCAAGGAGTCATATCCTTTATATCTAAGGCATGGGGAGGAAGGGTAAGTGATAAACATGTTACTGAAAACAGTGGTATACTAAGAAAGCTGCTACCAGGGGACATTGTTTTAGCTGATAGAGGCTTTGACATTGCAGACAGTGTTGGATTCTACCAGGCAAAGCTGTATATCCCAGCATTCACTAAAGGTAAAAAACAATTATCTGCACAAGAGGTGGAAGAAACAAGAAAAATAGCTAATGTCAGAATTCATGTTGAACGAGTTATCGGACTAGTTAGAAGAAATTACCCAATGTTGCAGAGCATACTGCCTACAGAGTTGCTGAAAGTAAAGGCAGGCGATTCTCTTGCACCCATTGACAAGATTGCTAGGGTTTGTTGTTCACTGACTAATTTGTCAGATTCAATAGTACCATTTGATTGAGATGAATGTATCAGTTACTGTCTGTACAAATTTTAACCCTTTAAGCCTCAATATCACCATAGAAATTCTTCAGAGTGATCTCCAAACATTTCCTTAATGAATTAGTTGAAATAATTTGTTAAAGGATCAAAGCATTTTCCTTAGGTGAACATTAAATTAATTCTCAAAACCTTTTCTCTGATTATGTCTCAATATTGTTTGAGGAAAACTGAAGTTGATCATTCTTGAGCCTTAAAGGGTTAATAATTTTTCAACTCTCCCATAATCAAAATGGTGCAGTTAGGGGGATGCTTACCAGCAATTTTCTATTCAGTTGTAATTCTGATTTGTTATTGAGTACTGAATTAAAAAAAAACAGCTTTAAGGAGCACCTCTTATAAGCCAGGAGTTAACATAGTACATACAGATCACGTAACAAATAAAACACTTCTCAAAAAATTTAAAGTAGGCTAACCAGTGCCTTATATGTCAATGGATGGAGCACCTTCACTTGTTACAAATAAATGAACATCATGTTTAAATAATGCTACAATCCCAGTCAAAAGGTTTTGGGACACCTCCCCTTGTTCACATGTTTTTGTATGGAATTTGCAGCCATCCTGCAAAAGACACTCATAAACACGGCCTTAACAAGAATCCCCCCCCCCGAACAAAGTTGAGGTCCTTAACGTTTGCAAGATATGTGAAAAGGGGTTTGACTTGTAACACCCAGCACTGTTCAGGGGAGGAGGGGGGAAACCTTGAAGTACATTTTCCTCACCTGAAACACAAAGTGTCCTAAACGTTTTGATCAGGATTGTAGTCTGTTTATGTTAGCCTATGGCAAGTTGGACAGAACCATCAGGCAGTTCTTTCATCCTCAAACACGACATGTGGTACCATTTTATCTGGCATGTATCATTGTCACACCCGATTAATGTGCTTCCTTCCACATGTCGCTGACAGTAGCACCAAGGCCCTTCCACATCGTCTTCATCACATGTTGATGATGGTGAGTCAATGTGGGTTTGAACTTGACAACCTGGACGAGTGTAACACTTACCCACCATTTCAGGCAAAAGGCATTTGTTAAAAAATTCGGTGGCAGCGCGTAGTGAATTAGCCCAAAGCTCTCGATCAGGAAGAATTCGCTGCACAAAAAGATCTTGCATTGTCCACACTACAAAGTCGCAATATTCGACGCCACAGATAAATATCTGTGCTTGAACTTGGTAGTAATAAGCATGCGATTTGTCCAGGTAAATGTTACCAAGTTCATCTTTTTTTAAACAAAAGTTTTTCTTGCCAGCAGCATCAGAAATTACTGCATCCTTATAGGCATATATTGAAGATGAAACAAGTCTCCAGTAGCTCAAGTGGTTAGAGCATCCGACTAGCTCACCATAGAGTCTCCAGTAGCTCAAGTGGTTAGAGCATCCGACTAGATCACGGAGGGTCGAGGGTTCAAATCCCATCTGGGACTCGGATTTTATAGGCATATAGACATTTTATTTCACATACACCCTGCCCACAGCATTTGCAATTTACAAACCCATCAGGGGAAGCTCCCAAGTATGGCCACCTTGGATCAACATTTAGACCACTGTCTGAAATTGTTAAAGACTCATGGAACTGACCTATTGATTTCTGGTAAGCTTCACGTGCCCTACCCTCATTTCTACATCCCCACCTTGTGGCTGCAGTTGAAAACTTATGGGCTTCAGGGTAACATATTGCCTTAACCAGACTCTTTGCAGGTTTTGCTGGATTTGTGCTGCAAACAGATTTAAGTTTGGAAGCGGTTACACGACCTGCCCTTTGCTGGTACCAAACTTGACTTTGTGACTGCTTCCTAGTTGAAGCCTCTATTGCTCGACATTCCCCTGGTGTAACCTCAAGAACTACTGGCTTACAGCATTGCAGTAACTCCTCATATTCCAGCACAACACATTCTTCTCTATACAACCTATCAGGAAGAGACTTTGGCAGATTGTCAATTTCTTTACATGCAAACTGCTCATTAAATGGTGGTACAAGGGACAGTACTGCAGGTTTCACTTGAGTCTTAGATATGCTTTCAAAAAAAAATTTCTGCTCATCAGCAGTTGGTGCGGGTATCCCAGTAGTTTTGATCCCAGGGTCCGACCTAGTCCCACTAGGGGTAACTTCATTTTCCACCATCAAATCATACTTCTTCTTTGCGGATGTAAAATCCATATCACATACATGTAAGTAGGGGATTTCTCTCACATGACTAGGGAGCATCCATTTGCTTTTTTCTTGTGTGCAAGTGGTGGAATCTCTAATTCTAACACCAGACTCTACAGCAAAAAGCACTGCACCAACATGCGAACAAGCTTCACACAATCCTGCCATACAATCACAGTGGGCTGCTATAACAGTGCCATCTTTTTCGGCCAAAAACCATACTTTAAGAGGGGTATCCCGTGCTCTCTGTGAGTGGTTTACCTGTTCAAGGTATCCCATAAATAATGCAAATTAAGAAAACCCTGCCATTTGTATATGTCTTACAAAACAATGAAGTTGAAAACAAAAGAATCCATCCCGGGTTCAATCTTATCTTTCGTTCTAAGCTTATTATCACACATTACTATTACCCAGAAAGAGGAAAACAAAATTTAACACAAGGATGAACTGAAAACCACTGCAGATATTTTACAATATTTATCCAAATAAATTCTTCATCTCAGAGAAAAACATATCACAGCCTTCAAATTAGCTGAACTCAACATTTTATTTGTATCACCTGAAAGTAGTTGTACACATAAACGAAAATCTGTCACAGACAAAACTAGGAATAACATGCAGTGAAAATGTTAAAACAGGGAACAAAGAACTTAATAAGCTCATCTTCACTCACCCTCGCAAACACAACAACTTTATCTGTACCAACACATCGCATGTAGAGGGTGTTCACCCAGCCAGAGACGAAAAAATTATATGCATCCATCGACTTGTAGGCCTTCATTTGGCTTTTTGTCGCCCACGAGGTTTGCAAGACTAAATAATTCACGATATCCAGATACTGCACACTCGGTAAAATCTCCACATTTTCACTGTAATCACTTTTCTTTAGCGAATAAGGGTCGAACCCACATATACTAACTTTTTCCCTATATCTTAATTTCGGTGGGCCATCTAGACCCGCAAAATAATCCGAAAACTGCACGTTTTCGTCCGGCTCACTCTGCATGGCAGCCATCTTGATGGTCTGGTTATCCCCCAACATGGCGCCGGCAGATGACGTAGTAATTTTTGGTCACGTGGTTGCAAACAAAGAATAGAGATTACTCAGCTAGAATTGTATACCGTAAAAACTCGTGTATATGCCGCACCTTTTTGCCGAAATTTTGAGTCAAAAATCGCGGGTACGGCTTATACACTAGACAATTGCTCTCAAAGGGAGTAAACTGGTTTGTAGGGGTCTTAAATTGAACTGAAAACCTTCAGTAAATAAAGATTAAACATATTGAAACCTGTCGTTGATCATTGCTTTCAGTAGAAGTGGTGGCTCCTAAAGGAGCCGTTTGTTCGCATCTGCAGGTTCTATACCTGAATCTTGCTTGCCAGTAGTTCTTTTAAGCGTTTCATCTGCGCTTTGTTTGAGCAGTTAAACTCTAACTGGCACGGAATCTCCATTCCTCCGCACAGCTGCTTACAGTGTCGTCTGCGACCGATCACTTCAACGCTGATTTCCCCACTACGTGAAAGAAAGTACCACGCTATTGGAGAGAATTCGCGAGGCAAATGGCCGACCGTTTCGTCGTCCTTCACTACTTTCACGGCGTGTTTGTCCGTTGGGTTGTTAAACTCTCGTTTAGCAACAAGCTTTTCCCCGATCGATGGTTTCCATACGTCTTTATAAACATGATATCCACGCACAGCTGATGCGAAAGCGAACGTTTCCATGTTGTTTACTGATCGCGGTCTACTGTGTGATTCGTCAAATAAACGCGTGGTTACTAAGCAATCGTTTTGTAGCATTCTCCAGCGCTTTATTTTCGTTCCATCGTTCCATTTTCATTTCAAATGTGGGCTTAAGCACTGAAGAGAACTGTTGTCTTTCGCAGGAAATGGGGAAATTGATTAAAGAGAACCTTTTAAAAGGTATTTTCAGAGTTGATTAACTTATTTAAAATGTCACTGCAAATACACAACATTAAATTTCCTCAAGTTTATTTGTGAACATTTTGATTCGCGAACAAACGATCACCTTTTTTACAAAAGCGCATTTTTGGTGTTTTTTTTTTTTCAAAATCATGTTTGAAAGTTGGGGGTGGGGCTTATACACGAGTGCGGCTTATACACGAGTTTTTACGGTAAAATTCAGAATTATCGTATGATGCTGAGTTTAGATTAGTTTCTGCTGCCTCAAAAAGTCTAACTAGTCCAAAGAAAAACTTTTCGTTGTTCGGTAGCCATCGAGCAGCCATGACGATGATCACATCAGAGATGAGGAAAGCTCTCCCATCCGTAGACTGGTACCTAGTCGTCACTCGGTTTCTGTGTATTTTTACTTCCGCTTCCTTTCGAATTGAAATTTTGGTTTTTCGAATTCGAATATGTGACGTGACTTTAAGTTCAAATTAAAGGTTTCATTTGGAATTAAGTGGAAGATTATGGTTGCATTGTTGACGATTAAGTGGCTTATTAGAGTGGAGAAGGTGAATTGAAGTTCAAATGATGTAATTTGCATTTTAGTTGGAATGGTGATTTGAACTTAAACATCCGCGATATCGAGTTTTCCCTTTATAGTTTCAACTTGTTCAAAGTAACTTCAAGTTTGAATGATGCCATTTCGACTGCGTTCATTGCGATTTCAAATTCATGTGACGAGATTTCGACAGGGATAGTCTAATTTTTGAACTTCAAATTGTCTTTTACTTTCAATTATTTTTGTCCGCAAATGTACGCCATATTTAAGGATTTGCAAATTATTATTGTCCACACAAGATATTTTGAAGAAGCCTTAGTGCTAGGTATCCTTTCTGATTTGCAATAAAAGTTTAGTTAAGAGGACCTCCATAAACATTTTTGATAAATTATAGCTGTTACTGAAAATATTTATTCATTCAGTTTTATCACAGTCTTATCGGCAGTTCAAGGCTATCAATGTAAGAAAATTTTCTTGTTTTAATATCCAGTCAACTGACTGTTAATTGTCTTGGGAAAATATAGCTAAAAGTGTTTTGTTTTCTAGTTTTGTCTGTAGATGTCTTCTTGCTTCATTTAGGGAATTTTACATGTTTGCAAACAATATATTTGCCTTACATTGTGACAGATAACCAAACTTGAAGCTGTTGCATAGGAAAATGAGTATCCAGCCCAAGCTATAAAACTTAGGAGACCACAAATGCACACCAAAGTACAGGAAGGCCGCAGTGAGAAGCTTGAACAGCTTACCAGGTTTCCGCTTCTTCGTCGACAGAAGAAAGCGGTTATAGAGGGTTTAGTTAGTCACTTTGATATTGACATTGCTTGATTAAGACCTGCAGTGTGTGGTTGAAATGTCACGATCAATATCAGGGCAACTATCGAGAGACAAACGATAAACTAAACCCTTTATACATATTATCCACGATGATGAACGTCTTTCATCACAAGAAAACAGCGGCTGCCCTGTGCAAGCGCAAGCAGATCCTGATGAAAGAGCAAGTCAAGATGCTTTGTGGACAACCTTGATTGGTATATCTCCAAAACCAATTATTGGAGCATATATTTCCAATTCAGCAGTTTGCATTAATGAGATTCTGCCAAACATTGTAAAAGGTAAAGTTGAAGACTATGTGAAAGGTGATGAAAAAAGGGCAAGGAGCAGACATGTTATACAAAGGGGGTCTTAAAAGGAAGAGAAAGTACACCAGTATAAGAAATAGTGGTGACGTTTTCGAACAGCATGTCGATGAATCTGAGAGAAATGAGAAATCAGAATTTTTACAGGGTTGTGAAGTCCCTGAGATCTTTCCATAAAAACCCTCATGAGCCATCTTTTAAGTACTAACATTGGTTAAGTTGTGACTCTGGAAAGCTTGGCTGAAAGGTTTTCGGCTGAAGCTGTTTCTAGTGTGTACAGACCCCTCAAGTCTTTCTTGTTGAAGCTTGCTGATTTGTATCATGAGAAAATGTCCTGTCTTCGCTGTTTTAATGAAGAGAAAGGTCTCCTGTATTTGACAGTGGGGACAGAAGGTGCTCCAGCTTATCTGGTGAGCTTCCTTAACTTGCTTCAAAGAGATCAAAGCTATAATGACAACTATCTCCTTTTGGGGGCTAACTGTGAAGACCACCCACTAATGAAAGCTTACACTTGTCAACTGAGTAAGGAAATGGAGGAAATTGAAGGTGAGGCACTGGCCACTCCAAAGGGAATCAAATTGTTCTGAAATTTGAACTCGTTCAATCAGATATGAATTGGATCTCATCTTACTCAGGAAAATTAAACAACCTTGCAACCTTACTTTCTTTTGCTAATGTCAGTAAAGCAACATCACAACCAGTTCTGCTGTCCTTAGATAGTCTACTCACAGTGGACAAGCAATATGTTAGTCATCCATTAAGCACAAAGCACCAGTCTTAATATTACAAGTTCATTCGGAATAATCTTTGTCGTGGTGATTGTATAGTCATTGTTGATTATAAAATGTAACTGGAACTTGGAATCCTCAGTCGGGAAATCCAGTGCGACTGGTATGGCAAATGAGGCCTTTCACTTCATGGCTTTTTGGTGGTGGCTCAACGATACAGGGGGTTACAAAAGGTTACAATGGGTAACAAGGGGTACCAGGGGGCCACAATAGGTGACAGGGTGTTACAAGGGGCTACAGGGTGTCAAGGCGGGTTACAACGGGTTACAGGGGATTACAAAGTATTACAGATAACTTGTTTTCTAAGTAGGACATTCCCAGATACTTTTTCTTGGCCTCTTTTGCATAACAAGATTACAAAGGGTTACAGGAGGTTACAAACATTGATGGTAATTCAAATTAACAATAATGTTTGTTAGTCTTTCAACATTCAGGTTATTTTAATGTTTTATTATTGGGATATTGCCTCTTCCCATGAAGAAAAACCCATCAATGTTTATTGCCATTTTAATTCCATACATGGTAGGAATCAAATTACTATAAATGGTAATTTATCAACCATTATTGGGAAATAGCTTAACCATAGATGGTAATTCAAATAATAACATCATCTTTTATTGTTTTAACATTCAGGTTATTTTAATAGTGTTATTGAGAAATTGCTACTTCCCATGAAGGAAAACCCATGGTAGGAATCAAATTGCCATAAATGGTAATTTATAAACCATCATTGGGAATTAATAGCTTAACATTAATGCTAATTCAAACAAGAATGTTTTTTACTGTTTTATGTCCAGATTATTTTAATGTACTAGCTGTCATTGGGAAATTGTCATTTCCCATGATGAAGGAAAACCCATCAATGTTTATTTATAGTGTTGTTAACATGAATGATTGGAATAAAGTTATTATTTTGAAAGGTAATGTAAAAACCGTTATTGAGAAATAGCAATCTCCATTCTCAATTGTGATATTTTAGTTCCCATCAAAGAAATTTGAAAACATCCAAGTGGATTTGTGGTTAGTTAATTAACTTCTTAATAATCCACTGCACTGAATTTTTTTTTGATATAGTTATCATGAAAATCGCGAATTCCGCAAAGCTAAGGTTACACTTCTAACAGTTCACCATTAAAACCAACCATAATCATCCAAGGCTATAAACTTTCAATTTTCAATGATACATTAACAAAGGATACATGTGTACAATAATCAGTTCTGCTACTGTGGTACAAGTAACAAAAGTCGTGACAATATCAACAACAACAACAACATAAGCTTTATTACCAAATAAAAGTTAACTTAATTTACAATATAATATATTAATACAAAAAAAGGTAACATTTACTCAGAATAACTAAAAAGCTAATCGAGCTGAGTAAAGCTAAATAATGTTCAGGCATAGGAGGTAGGTTGGCACTAAAGCTAGAAAAAACAAGGAATTAGTAAATAGATAAAAGGAAAAAACATGAAAAAGGAAAAAAAAAGACTCACGAACAGTAAGACTGTAAGATGTTTGACATGACTTTGTTTTTAAAGGATTTAAGGGGGAGGTGTTTGATGCTTTCATCAAGGTTATTCCAAACTTTTACAGCCGCAAAGCGAAAGTTGAATTTACCATAGTTTGTTTTGATAGTATTGAGGTAATAGGTTGATTTAGAAGCAAGCCTGGTATTGTATGAGTGTATGGATGCTACCGTTTTAAAGAAATTTTCAAAGGAAGATGGAAGAAGATTATGGTGATAGTTATACATGAGGAGTGCATTGTGAAGGGTAACAAGATCAGTTAATTTAAGAATGTTTAATTTCTTAAAAAGAGGCTCAGAGTGATCACCTGGTTCCAAAAAAGTTATAATACGTGTTGCTTTCTTTTGAAGAATTATCAAAGATCTGAGAGTAGAACTATAAGTATTGCCCCAAATTGATAAACCGTAGGTGAGGAAGGGGTAAATACCTTATTCTCCTTAATTTTCGCGGGTTCTTAAATTCGCGATTTTCGCGATTTTAAAAAATTCGCGAACTTAAAGACCCACGAAAAAAAACGACCGCGAACTTTGATCTCGCGAAATTTAATGGACATAGAAAAACCATGTAGTGGTGTTTTCAAGGGTCCTAAACAATTTTTAACACAAGGTGTTCGTACAAGGAGCTATCATTTATCAACTTTAGATGTTAATCAGTGTCAAGATTCGCCTCAAGTTCTTCTTCGGCATCTGAGTAATCATCTTCGCACAGTTCCTCCAAAACATCCTTTGTACAGTCATCAAATTGACCATTCTGTCCCGGCTCCTTGTAGTGTGTAGTTACGAGTGTCTTGTATCTTTCCAT